GAGAAGAGAGAGAGAGAGAGAGAGAGAGAGAGAGAGAGAGAGAGAGAGAGAGAGAGAGAGAGCGCGAGCGAGCGCGAGCTGAGGTATAGACTGCCTTCTATAAGGTCTCAGCCCCCAAGATATTCACATCATCATTCTCAGAACTGAGTTACTTTGCATGGCAAAGGAGTCTTTGCAGAAATGATGACTGCTAAACATCCTACCTTAGGGAGATTGCCCTGAAAGGTCCCAGTGTGATTTGGAGTATCCTAATAAGATGGTGGCAGGAAGGTGGGATGTGGAGAGAAAGCCTTGTGTGGATGCAGGCTGGAACCGTGCCCTTGGAAAATGAGAACGGGTTCCAAGCCAAGTGATAAAGCTGCTAGGAGCCAAAAAGGGCAAAGAAACATTCCATTCCACAGAGCCTGCAGAAGGAATGGGTCCTGATGGCACCTGACTTAAACCAGTCAAGCCAGGATGAAAAAACAGGGGCCCAGGAGAGCCATACAACAGGGCCACCCCTCTAGCTGTCTGGGCCCTCTGTTCCAAGGCCTCTCATGACAAGGTTCATTCAGTCAACTCTGTAACACGGACAAAGGTTTCAGGGGAAAGAACAGCAGGCCATTCTCAGAGTAGAGATTCACTTCCTGAAGTCCAGAAGAGCACTCCGATTCTAGTTGCATGCTCCACTAATCACTGACCCAGGATTTCTATCCCAAGAACACAAGAGGGCTCAGAAAATCAGCTTGCCCCTTACCACCCTAGCAAAGTTCGAGGCAGATGCACTGGGCAGACCTCTAGCATAGATATTTTCTTGTCATGAAGATGGAATTTAAAGACAATGGCATATAATAGAACACAAACCATGTGGCGCCTACCAGTAATCTGTAGGAGCCCTGTCTGCAGTGATTAGAAAAAGGCAATAGCTGGATGTGGTGGTGCACACCTTTAATCCCTGTGCTAAGGAGGCAGAGGCAGGCAGGTCTCTGAGTTCGAGGTCAGTCTGGTCTACATAGTTCCAGGACAACCAGGATTAGGGAGAGAGAAACCCTGTCTTAAAAGAAAAAAGGCAGTACAAGCCAAGTATGAAATGAGAAGCAGCCCCAGTTTCAGATCTGGTAGGCACACACAGGACACCGCTTCCCTTTCAGCTGCTTTGAGAGCTGCTTTCACTCAACCCCCATACTAGCAAGCTTTGAAGTGGGATAGGTAGGTGCCTTTCTCGTCACTGCTTTTAGCCATTTTTCACTAAATGCTGCCCTTCCCCACGCATGTGACAAACAGGCATCACAGTGGGGCAGAGTACCTGGGCTTAAATCCCAACACCTCCGTTTGCTGACTGAGGAGCCCTGGGGAAGGTGGTCCCTGGCCTCTTGTATCTCACCTGTGAAAGGTGGGGAATGACGCCTGCATTGTAGGGTAGTTCCAGAATAAGTGATTTCATGTTTGTAAGCACACATAGCACAAACAGGCAGCGCCAGCTGTGCATTGGCATGGACGTCCTCGTCCATTAGTCTGGTCTTGCAGAGTTTGGCCGTCTGTCCTAGTTCCTGTTTATTGTTGGGATAAAACACAACCAACTTGAAAAAGAAAGGGTCTATTTGACTTACCATTTAGAGTCACAGGCTGTCATCAGGAAGCTGGAACAGGAACTCAAGACAGAAGCTGAGACAGAGGCACCGAGGAACAAACACTGCTTACCAGCTTGTGCCCATGAGTTGTTCAGTTTGCTTTCCCTGCCAGGGACGGCACCACCCACAGTGAGCTGGATTCTTACACATCAGTCATCAGTCAAGAAAATGCCTCTCACAGACTTGCCCATGGGCCAGTCTGAAGGAGGCAGTTCCTCAACTGAGGACCCCTCTTGATGATTGGTTTGTATTGGGGGGAGGGAACCAACAGGCACAATAGATACCTTGTCACTATTAAGCTATAACTTTTTCTTTTTTATTCCTACACTCACAATAATATCACAATATAAATCAGTCCAACTTTTTTAAAGTTGCACCGCCCTGGTATCTCCAGCAAGCTGGAGTCTCCACCTGCAAGTGAGGCTACCTTCACAGGCCTCTTTGCAGATGCTCTCAACCTCGGCATCTCTCCGTTATCCCTCATGCCTTCAAAACCAATGACATGCGAGAGTCTTACACATTACCAAATTTGGCCGCAGGGGTTGGGGATTTAGCTCAGTAATAGAGTGCTTGCTTAGCAAGCATAAAAGGCCCTGGGTTTGGTCCTCAGCTTGGGAGGTGGGGGGGGGGGCAAAGAAATAACAAAAAGAACAAAAAAGAAAAGGAGGCCGGGCGGTGGTGGCACACACCTTTAATCCCAGCACTCCTGAGAGGCAGAGGCAGGTGAATCCCTGTGAGTTCAAGGCCAGCCTGGTCTACAAGAGCTAGTTCCAAGACAGCTGGGACTGTTACACAGGGAAACCCTGTCTTGAAAAAAAACAAAAAATAAATAAAATGAAGAAAAGAAAACAAGGTAACCAAATTTGACTGCCAACTTGAGGCCCTCTCTGAATCACAGTTGAACCCAGAAGATTTTGCTTTAATGATGTTGGCTTCTTATTCATCACAGCCAGTTCTTCAGCCTCAGCTGACCTGGAACGACAGATTCTTAATTCACAGTTTCACATGAACAGCCTCAGTAGTCTGCTTCCATTGTCTGCACTGCTTGACATTTCCATTTTCCAAACTCTTAGCCCACCAAAGCTCTGCACACTCGATGGGTTTTCCCAGCCCAAAGTCCCAGATGCCAGCACAGTGCTCTCTAAAGTGGCATGGTTCTGTCGCAGAAACACTACACCCTCCGTGTCCGTCTCTGTCTTAGCTTGCTCTGCTGCTGCTGTGCTAAAACACTAACCAAAACCAACTTTAGGAAGGAAGGGGTTTTGGCTTGCCTTTCCACGTCACTGTCCATCATCAGGGGAAACTGAGCAGGGGCTCCAGGCACGAACCTGAGGCAGGAACTAAAACAGACCGTGGAAGAGTGCTGCTTACTGGCTTGTGCCGCTTGCTTCCTTACACTACCTAGGACCGCCTGCCCAGTGGTGGCACAACCCACGTGGGCTGGACTCTCCACCATCCAGAAAACGCACCATAGGCCAATCTGACTGAGGCACATCCTCAACCGAGGCTCTCTCTTCCAGGTGCTGGGTGACTTCAGTTTGTATAACATTGACAAAAGAGACAAACAAAACAGTACCACCCCCCTGCTCAGTGAAGATTTTAGCTTCCAGTTAACCGAGTGCCCTGAGACCCCAGCAGTCCTAGATCCTACTGCGGTCTTGTTCCATTGGTTCTACCATCATCCCATCCTCTTTCCTCCCCCCTTTACAGCTTATACTCCATGGTCCCACTGCCGTAGCTCCTAGCTGTGTTGTCTGTCCCCCAGCATCCGATCCCTTTGCTATTTGTTCCCTAGACCTGCTGTTGCTGGCTTCAACCTGTCTGCAACTCCTTTCTGCACTCCTTTCTCCCCTGACTTGATCAAGCCTCCTAACTTTAGAATTAGTCTCTTGGGTTGTATTCCCCCTGCCGATCCTGAAACTGTTTCAGGTGAAAGTCAGCCAGGGTAGGGAGCCATCTGGTAAACCAGCTACCACAGTGGACAGTGGGAGCTTGATCCCACAGAGACTGAGGTGTAAACTGAAGAGGGGGAGTTGGCGGTGTGGACCCCCAGAGCTGTAGCCACAGTTAAAAGCTACAAACAAGCCTAACTGGGCAGCAGCAGGCACAGGGCAGATCCTCCCACGTGGGCAGGCCCAGGACCCCTGCTAGAGTGGCCTATATGCTGAGGAGCCTCAGTATTGTCTGCAGTCCAGATCTCTTCTAAACTGACTCACCCAGCAGCCTGCGGACAGCTGGACATCCAGACACACTCAGCTATCTAACGAACATCTGAAACTTAAAACGACCCAGGCCACTTCTCCAGAAACTCCAAATTATGATAATACATTCTTTCCAATTCCTCCCGCAACTCCAGCACCTTCAGTTTAACTCACGGTTCACATCCATTCCTCAGCTTAAAGCCCAACTTTAGAAGGGATCCAGAGGACCACCACCATGGTTCAGCAGGTGGAGGTGTCTGCTGCTGGGTCCCGGGCCCCATGTGGGAGAGAGAAAGCCAACTCTCTCTCCCACATGTTTTGGAAAAAAAAAAAGTAAAAATATTTTTAAAAGTCCTCTAGAGCCGGGCACCTTTAATGCCATCCCTTGGGAGGCAGAGGCAGGCAGATCTTTGAGTTCAAGGCCAGCCTGCCTACAGAGTAAGTTTCAGGACAGCCAAGGCTATGCAGAGAAACCCTATCTCGAAAAACAAAACCAAAAGAGTAATCTAGGCTCTGGCCAGGCCTTGCCATCAAAGCCAGGAG